CTGCTGTTACTTCGCCATTAATGGGAGAAGTCTCAAGCAGACAATTGGGCGAGAGACGTCACAGCCAAAGGTTACTCCATCGAATTTTGGAGCAGACCTCCAGAACGCTTCATCCCCTCCCCACATATAAAAAACCCAATCAAATTGCAAAGAACTTTAGAAGCTGTCAACCATCTCTCCAGCATTCTAGCAATAGAACCGGTTCCCCCAGACGAGAGGGAACATGAGGTGTACTCCATTTTCTTCACAGTTCCCAAAAGAAACGGAAGCTGGAGAGCCATCTTAGATTTAAAATTCCTAAATAAATTTGTAAAACGACATCGATTCCGCATGGAGACTCTCCGCTTCATCGCAGAGGCATTGCAACCAGGGGAATTCTTGACTTCAATCGACCTAACAGAGGTGTACCTCCATGTACCTATCTTCAACGGTCACAGACGTTTCCTGAGATTCTGCGTTTAGGGTCAGCACTGGCAGTTCAGAGTTCTACTCTTCAGAATCTCAACCGCCTCAAGATGCTGATTCACCCAGTTGTCCTGCTGAGAGAAAAGGGTGTACATGTCCACCCTTACCTAGATGATCTTCTGATTCGCTCCGCCTCGTTTCTCAAATCAACTCAAGATACGGAGGACAGCATCCAGTGTCTACAGAATCATGGTTTCCTAGTCAACATCCAAAAGAGCTGTCTGACGCCGTCTCAAACCATAGAGCATTTGGGGGAGATCTTGGACACAACCCAGAATCGCATGTTTTTGCCAAAAGCCAAGGCAGAGAAGATTCGTACTCTTTGCCGTCAAGTCATCAAGAGCAAGCATTCCTCCCTAATGACTCTTGCCAAGCTGATGGGCCTATTCATCTCCTCCATAGACACTGTTCCCTGAGCACATCTCCACGCGAGACCTCTGCAACAGTTTCTGCAACCATTCCAGCACAGGATTATGCAACGGAAGGATATTGCAGTCAAACTTTCTTTCAAGGTGAAATCCGGCCTCAAGTGGTGGTCCAAACTACAAAACCTTCTCTTGGGTCATCCGTACTACAGCGAGCATTGGAAGCAGATTGTCACAGATGCAAGTCTTCAGGGTTGGGGTGCTGTTCTTCTCAACTCCCCAACACAACGATTATGGTCCAAGGAGGAAAGGACTCTACCTATAAATGTCCTAGAGCTCAGAGCTATCAGACTGGTGCTCCTGCACTTTCGTGCTCAGGTTGTTGGACACCACGTGCTAATCAGAACAGACAACATTGCGGCCAAGTCTTACATAAACAACCAAGGGGGCTCCAGGTCCTCCAGGCTTTGCCAGGAAGCTCACAAGCTTTTTCTGTGAGCAGAACTCAATCTAGCTTCCATCAAAGCAGAACACATAAAGGGGATACTGAATACACAAGCGGACTGGCTGAGTCATTACCAGTTGCAGGAAGCAGAATGATCCCTATTCCAGCTGATCGTGAATCGTTTCGGCCGGCCGGTTGTGGACTTGTTTGCCTCTCCTCTCAACTTCAAGGTGAGGAGGTACTTCACCAGGTTTTATCACCATGACAGCAAAGCAACGGATGACTTGATGTCTCAGTGGCTGCCAGGCCTACTATTTGCATACCCACCTACTCAAGTGCTTCCAAGATTCCTGAGAAGGATACGAGAGCAGCAGGCAGAGATCATAGTTGTGGCTCCTTACTGGCTCCGGAGACCGTGGTTTTTGGATCTTCAGAGTCTGGCGGTGCAACCTCCTCTCCAACTGTAGGTGTCTCCAGACATGTTGATACAGGGACCTGTATGGCATCTGGATCCAGAATGACTTTGTCTGACCGCATGGCAATTGAGTGGGAAAGACTGCTTAAACTAGGATACTCAGAGAAAGTGACAAATACCATGCTGGCTTCTAGGCGACAATCTACTTGCAGAATCTGTAATACTACCTGGAAGGCCTTCGTAAGGTGGGCCAGAAGGAAGTCAGTAGATCCCCTGAAGTCCCATATTAGGAGCATACTTGTTTTTCTTCAGGACGGCCATGACTCGGGTCTGAAGGGATCTATGCTTAGGAGACAGGTGGCAGCCCTTTCAATGGTAGCGCCACCCTTCAAAGGCTGGGGGTTATCCAGACATCTTCATGTCAAGTACTTTCTAAAAGGGGCATCACTTAAGGATCCCCCTGCAGCTCACAGGTTCCCCACTTGGAGGTTGAATGTGGTACTCAATGCCCTAACCAGGCCTCCCTTTGAACCCATCTCAGAGATACCATTGAAGTGGCTAAGAATGAAGACCCTGTTTTTGGTAGCCATAACCTCTGCCTGACGTGTGTCAGAGCTGGGTGCTCCTTCGGTTAATCCAGGGCTCTGCATTTTCCACAAAGAAAAGGTAGTTTTGTATACAGATCCTACTTTTCAACCTAAAGTCAACTCCAGATTCCACAGATCTCAAGAGATTTGTTTGCCTTCTTTCTGCCCGAATCCTTCCCATGCGCAGGAGTGCATCTGGCACTCCTTGGATGTCCGCCGGGCCCTGAAGGCCTTTCTCCATCGCACTAAAGGCATCAGGAAGTCAGAATCCTTGTTCATATCCATTTCTCCGCCCAATAAGGGATGTAAGATGTCTAAGGCTACAATAAGTTCTACTCTCAAGTATTGCATCGTTGAAGCTTATAGGGCGCAAAATTTGGCACCGCCCTCCAGGATTACAGTGCACTCGATTCGTAGTGCAGCGACCAACGCTGCCATGACGAACCGTGCTACAGTGGAGGAAATCTGCAAAGCAGCCACGTGGTCCTCTGTTTCTACTTTTGTCAAACATTATAAAATCAACGTCGATGACTTGACTGATGCTGCCTTCGGTCGAAGAGTCCTTCAGCATGTTCTGGCGCACAAAGACGATGACCCACCCACGTGATGAAGATACTGCTATAGGAGATCCCATCAAGATGTCCTCCTCTCAGAGGGAGAAAGGGCCATTGGTACTTACCGTGAAGGGTCCTTCTCCTCTGAGATAAGGAGGACATCTTGGCCCCTCCCTAGTCGTCGTCATGTTTCTCACCTTTACCCAGCCTACGTTCTGAGAAGTACTTCTATCTCCTCTTCTCTGAATTTCCAGTCTTTTCTGGTTATTACAGTTATGTCACAGTTGACTTGGTTATTGTGTTTTTGTTAAACTTTTTACCGCTTCTAGGAGTTCCCAAACTGAGTTGAGGGACGTGTCCCACCAAGAGGACAGGAAGTGAGGTTTTGGTTCCTGCCTCCCTAAGGATAGGGTGGGAAACACCCATCAAGATGTCCTCCTTATCTCAGAGGAGGAGGACCCTTCACGGTAAGTACCCAATGGCCCTTTTTCAACCATCTCTCTGCACAACTCAATTCTCTCTCTCCACCATCTGCATGAACAAGATTGGGGGGAGGGCGGACATGCAGATCAGAGGCCTTTTAAAATTTCTTTTTGACCTGTGTGCAGCCCAGAGAGAACACTGACATGAAATGTGCACTCTGCACATGTTCATGCTCTTCATTTTGCTGTTAACTCAAATGGTGTGGTACCGTTTCAAAGGGGCAACTAACTGGGATGTATAAAAGGAATGACAGGATTGCCCATTGGAGATAATGAGATCCAGGAATGCTAATTGACTTGCATGGGCTCCACTGGTATTTAGTGTCAGTATTTGGATTTTAGTTCAGGGCTGACCCAAGGTGTGTTAAGAAATTCAGACCAAAAAATGGCATGAAGTGTGAACTATTGGGAAGCTGTCCAGTATTATGACTCTTTGGAAGTAGATGTCATGCAAGTCTCCCACTTGCTCTGTTTCGGTTTTGGGTAAGAGAATTTCCCAATGTGTTGGGGCCCCTGGAACAAATCTGTTGGTTTCTCTCCCCCATCTTCAATGACACCCAACTAAGGCAGATCGTGTCTCACCTGATCTTACTGTAGGACTATCCTTGCTATAGCCTGCCTTGATGTGTTTATGGTACATGGCAAACATGGGCAGCGTTGTGTACAATGCTGCTAGTGTGATGTCTGTTTGGGATTATACCTTGTCTGGTCTTAATGTGTGTGAACATGCAATAGAATGCATGCTCCTCAACACTGCTATAAACATTATCCTTTTAATTAATATCTCTTCCAGGCATGTTGTTGCCAGAATAATCTTTTGATTGTTTTCCTGATTTATTGCAGAAAAAGAAAAAGCGTACTAACTTGATCTGTATTTTCATGCTTGTTGTATGGTAGCTTCCCTGCAAGAGAAAAGGAAACCTAAAGTGTCTTTATTCAAAATGTAAAGCTGGCTCGCCAGCTCTGAGTTGGGAAATACTTGGAGATTTTGGGGGTGGAGCCTGAGCGATGGATGTTGCCTTCTGACACACTTCCGGTGATGTCAGGGGGTGTGGCATATGCAAATAAGTTATGCTATTAAGCTCCTGCACCTCTTTTTCTACGAAATGACCCCTGGCTATACCCATGACAATAATGAACTCAGCATTTCATTGCTGAAATAATATTGGTGCTCCTGAAGATGAGGTACACTATGGTTTTTCCTTAAGGAGTTTTTCCTTGAGACATCTTGGTCTTCCAGATCAGGAGTCGTGGGGGGGATCGGTGGTCAGTGCCTTCCCTACCCCACCTGCACATTAATATTTAGTCCACAATACATCACTATTGATTTACTGCATTGTTGAAAACTCTTCATATTGGCCTTCTGTCCAAGCATCAGGCTCTAAGCCTGTACAAACTGGAGCAGTGTCATTCATTACCGATTGAGTACAGACACCCTCAAAATCAATTGTGTGAATTTACCCTCGGAGAACCGCAGCTGTCTCTCTCTCTGTACCAGTACATGCTGGCATGAATATTGAATTAAGTCTTGGACCAGCAGTGTGGGACTTTGTCAAACTGAAGAAGGAGGAATGAGTTTCTTGGTTTAACATACCTCAGTTGAGCAAAACCTCCAAATGATTTGAATCTACATGAGGAACACGCACCGATTTTAATCGCTGTCATATCTTTCTTTTCTCCCCCCCAGGCCCAAGCCGTCACCCTCACGGTCGCTCAGGCGTTCAAAGTGGCGTTTGAATTCTGGCAGGCATCCAAAGAAGGTGAATGTGTGAGCTTGGGTGTAGTTCCCCCCCCCATTTTCTCTACAGGGAGAACTTTTTAAAAAATGGAAGGAACAGTGAATGAAATTCTGATTGCATTACTAATCTAACCACAGGCTTCTAATGGCTCTGACAGCAGGCAGTGGAGCTGGTTCGTGATGGAGCACCAGGCATTTCTTCCATCACCTCCTCCCTTACCCCCTCCAAGTGTTTCTTTTTCTTTGTTTTTGCCGGTGTTTGATGTTCAGGGTCACTTTTTGTTGTTACTGTTGGTGGAAGCCAATGATGTTATTATGAACAAGGGTGGGCCCGCAAGAAACTTGCGGGGAGGAGGCATTCCCCCACCTTTGCTTCCTTCCCTCTCCCCCTCCCCCTTTCTTTCTCTCCCCAAGCCAATCTTTCTCTCCCCAGCAGAAATGGCAGGCATAACGGAACAGGGCATTAAAAGAGCCCACGAACAAGCTGAGCCGATTGACCCTAGCAGAAAAGACTCTACTCAGACAGGGGCCAAGGCAACGATGGCAACGGGTGTAGGTTTCTCGTCACTTCCTCCCACACTGCTCCTGGCCGAGTTCAAGCCCTGGCTCTGCGCCTGCTAACTGCAGCTCTGGAGAATATGACTCCCATCTGTTGTAGGGTTCCCAAGTACTTACCGCGATCCGGCGGGGGAAACATGCTCCCCGGGCGGACCATTCCTCCCTGTAACGCAGCATGCCGTCGCCAGGAAGTGACGCCGGGCGACGCTCTGGCAATGGGGCTGAAAACTCGATGGTACCATCGGGGTTCCAGCCCCATTGCCAGAGCGTCAGCCGGCGTCACTTCCTGGCGACGGCATGGTGCGGCGCGTCTGTTATCCCCGCGGGAATGATCCTGCGAAGACGTCTGTGTCCCCGCCGAATCACGGTAAGTACTTGGGAAGCCTGATCCGTTGCCACTGGTCAGGGCTAAACTGAGCAGCACCATCTTACCCCTGGCTGACGGCCTGCTCTCCTCCAGATCAAAGCCATCTTTTCCAGGCCATCTTTCATTTTGAGAAAACCTGTGGCTAAACCCCTTCCCAAGATTGCAGTGAAGGCCCACGGTGTCCTTTTCTCTACCCATGTCCTCTCTCTGTGGTGGTCACCCCTGCTGGGTTTCCAGCTTTTTCCCTCAGGCCTCCTGTATTGAAATTCTGCAGGTGCCTCTCGGAGTGCAGCCAGCAAGTAAAGTTGACAATACCATGTCTTTGCGTCCCCGCCTCCTGCTGTCTCCCTCACGGCTTTAAAATTAAATCATAATCTCCAGTTCAGCAGAGGGCTGGCGTCTTTACTCAGGCAACTCTGTCAGGGTCTAAGTACATTGGTAGCGGTGTATAAATAATAATCCCTTCCCTATGGGAGGCAGAAAGGAGGTCTGCCCAGCAGAAGCATGCAGGCAGTCGGCTGGCAACCACTCCTGGTTTTGGGCACCTTGAAAGGCGTGGGTGGTTGCCAAGCAACCACTCAAGTGCTTTCTTCTGCCCCCCTGTGCACCATCGTCCCCACACACCCCATCCCTGAGCCAGTGCTTCAAGTGGCATCGTCCAGCCCTGGCCAGCTGTGAGGTGCCAGTGGAGGATACGTCGACAGCAAGAGACCATCTGTCTTTTTGTCAGTGGTAGCCTGGTTAGGCGCAGCAGCCAGCTGGTTGGGCAGCATTCCAAAACAGACTGTAGGCTTGATTGGATGGTCTTTGCAAGTCTTGGGGTCATGCCAGTCTGGAAGGCCCTTTTCTGTTTGCCACAACTGTTCTGCCGTTGGCAGCAGTGAAAGGTTGAGCAGATAGATCTGCCTGGAAGCCCCCCTTTCTCTCTTGCCCCCCCCCCCATACACTTCCATCTGAAGACTGGCAGAAACAAACTGCCTTGAGTTTACGGCCTCTGTGCTCAGTGAAGGATCAAGGGCACTTAAAAACCTTGTGTCAGAAATTGACAGCTGCCTTGTTGCTCAGCAGGCTTTTGGTGGCTGGAGTTGGACCAGCATCTGGTAGGTGGGGACTGATCTGGCTTTATCTACTTAACTGGTTTTTATTTATTTTGACTGTGTTGTAATTTTGCGTGTTAAGTGCTGTCAGCCATCTTGGAGGAACTGTTTTCTGGGCCTACAAGAGAGGATTTGGGAAACATTAACGTGAACTAGTACATTTTGTCATTTGGGCCATCAGGATGGGGTAGTCAGAAAGCTGCATGACGCAGCCAAAGGAGGCACTAGATGTTGGGTATGTAGATGCTGTGAAATCTTGGGAACCGGCCCAAAATTGTAGTTTGCTATGTGGAGATCAGCTTCCAGGCAAGAAAAGGACCAGCTTTGCGGTATCTTGGTTTTTTTTCTCATTGCACAGTTGGCTATTGTGCCTATTGGATTCCCAACATACGTCCTCAGATGTTGTGCATGTTTCTCACATGGGGAATGATTTCATGTCAGGAGTCCCAAGACTGCAGAAACAGGGGGAAAGGACACTGAGGTCTCTTTCACTGGCCAAAGGTCTCCCAGGAGGTTGTGCTACCTCCATCCAACCAAGAATACCAGTAAAGTTCCAAGCTCCAAGCCCTCACTCTCCTATCAAGCTTACCGTGTGCTCTTGGGCACAATGGTCTACCTTGCAGGGTTGTTGCGGGGGATAAAATATGGGGAGAGGGGCCAGGTGTACCGCCCATATCTTCTTTGGGGAAGGATAGGATGAAAAATACATAGACAGCTTGGCCCAAGTTGTATATGAATATGTTTTTGTTTGTTTTGGATCTTTCTACCCCTCTCTTCTCACCAAAGCACCTTACACCATTGTTCTCTTCTTCTCCATTTTATCCTAATGACAACAACAGTCCTGTGAGGTAGTTTGGGCTGAGTGGTCTAGGGTAGGGCTCCCCAACCTCTTTGAGTCTGCAGGCATGGAACATGGCCCCACTGGTGGGCCTCCTGATGGCACTGGTATTTCTGGCTACTGTGTGATACAGAGTGTTGGACTGGATGGGCCTTTGGCCTGCTCCAACATTGGTGTCTCTTATGTTCTTATGCTGGGCACAGCCACAAAATGGCTACCACAAAAAGGCAGCCTAAAGAGGTGGACCCAGCCATGAAATGCCTGCCATGGCATACCTTCAGTCACACAGTGAAGAAATCTGAAAAATCTGCAAAGCCAGTCAAATCTCCAACTGCCAGCCAGAAGCCTTATTGGGAAAAGCCCCACCTGGCCTTGCCCACTTTCTAAAAGCACTTAGCGGGCACCAGGAAAAGTGTCAGTGGTTGCCATGGCAGCCATGGGCACCCCGTTGGGGACTCCTGGGATAGGGTCGCCCAGAGAGCTTTCATGTCAGAGTGGAGGTACAAACTAGAGTCTCCTGTATCTTAATTCAGCACTTGCTACACCAGCACTGTTCTGCTACATCTCCTCTCCTTTTTTTCTCCTCCTCTCTACCTCTCTTGTGTGTGGCACCTGTCTTTCTTGATTGACATGAGCCACTTTGGGAGGCAGTTGTCTAGAAAGCAAGAATTACATAGGACAAATGCTTTCGTTTCTAAGAAGGATACTGTAAGCTACACAGCGGTTTGTTGGCTTAAGGAAATGAACACTGACACTAACTTTCCCAGGTATCCATAAACTCACAACGTTTGTCTGACTGTCTGTTGCAGAAAAGGAGAAGAGGGAAAGAGCCCTGTTGGAAGGAGAAGGAGACATCAGCCCACACTCAGAAAACTCAGCCTCCTCGAAAGGCTGTAAGTGATCAAGCACACGTGTTCTGTTAAAGAGGATCTTTGCAGGGTTTTCTGTGAAGCGGCCACACTGAGACAGGCCACTGGCCATGCTAGTCCACATTCTGTCTGCTGAGACCGGTGACGGCTTCCTGAGGTGGCACTCAGACATTATTCCCAGCCCTTCTTCCAGAGACTCTTTTAATCGGCAATTCCAGGGACTGAACTGGTGATCTTCTGCATGCAAAGTGTGTGTGGTAATAATCAGGGCTATTTTGGGGCAGGAACGCACAGGAACGGAGTTCCGGCTGGCTCCCAAGTTGGCCACGCCCAGCAGGAACTCATTAGCATAATAGGCCACACCCAACAGCAGGAACTCATTAGGACTGGCTACATTAGGGGTGTGTGGCCTAACATGCAAAGGCGTTCCTGCTCCAAAAAAAGCCCTGGGTTTTGACAGCAAACAAGGTAAACAGAATAAGAAGCAAAAGGTGGGTGTGGCTGGATGACCACACTTCTGGTAACATGGGGGTGTGGCCTAATATGCTAATGACCTGTGCTGTCATGGGTGTGGCCTAATATGCTAATGAGTTCCTGCTGTTGGGTATGGCCTGTTATGCTAATGAGTTCCTGCTGGGCTTTTTCTACAAAAAAAGCCCTGGTAATAATAATACTTAGCATTTCTGTTGCACTTCTGGAGTGTTCAAAGTCTCAGTGAGTCCCCCCCGCAGCTATATGGACCAGCAGGGAACTAACATGGGCAACAACAGTCCTGTGAGGTAGTTTGGGCTGAGTGGTCTAGGGTAGGGCTCCCCAACCTCTTTGAATCTGCAGGCATGGAACATGGCCCCACTGGTGGGCCTCCTGATGGCACTGGTATTTCTGGCTACTGTGTGATACAGAGTGTTGGACTGGATGGGCCTTTGGCCTGCTCCAACATTGGTGTCTCTTATGTTCTTATGCTGGGCACAGCCACAAAATGGCTACCACAAAATGGCTGCCATTGGAGGTGGACCAATTGGAGGTGGACCAATCCGTGACCCATGATTGGATAGCGTAAGCAAGGCTGATTGTATCATTCCAGGATAGAGCTGGCTGTAAAATTCTAGGATCCTGTGCTTCTTACCTTTTCTCACCCTTCTTTAAAAGAATATTTTAAGATCCTAAAGCTGCAGAGAGAGTATAAGTACAGGGAGATTCCCCCTCCCACCCAGATTCCCCCTCCCACCCTATTTGGAGGATGTAGCATGCTTGTAACCCATGTAGGGTTGCCAGGTCCCCCCTGTTCCCCAGCAGGGGATGGGGGGTCGGGTTGCCAGCTCTAGGCTGGGAAACTCCTGGAGATTTGGGGATGGAGCCTGAGGGGGACAGTGACCTCAGTGGAGTGCAATGCCATAGAGTCTACCCTCCAAGGCATCAATTTTCTCCAGGGGAACTGATCTCTGTAGTCTGGAGATGAGCTGTAATTCCAGGGGGATCCCCAGGTCCCACCTGGAGGCTGGCATCTCTAAATCCATGGCAATCAGTGCACTAATGCAGTGACACAGAATGGCATGCTTCTCTGGGGAGGAAATTAATTAGGAGAAGGAAGGGGTCTCTTTCTTAAAAAGCACAAGAGTGCAACTAACCTTGAGTCATGGCTATTCTCTGGGTATTATTACAAGCTTCTGCCTGGGAGACTGAAGTGTGTTCATCGTCATCGCTTAAAATATGCGGTGCCTCTCTGATGCCATCCACTTGGGTGCAAATCCCTCATGGCTGCTGTTAGTTATCCCCTGTGCCCGCAGAAGCCTCTTAGAAACAAAATGGGAGGTGCACTCTCAGTTATCAAATAACCGAAGCCCCTTTTTTTCCAGGGAGGTGAGAGATAACTTATTACTGAAATTCAGCCCGCATGTCTTGTATACAGAGGTTGTTGACCCTTGATTGAAATCCATCAAGATCTTAACTGTTCTTTTGACCTCTGCATCTCCCTTGGAATGAAACCGATTTGCCAGTTATTCCTCGGGGAGGAAGAAAGGGGGAAAGGCAGCAAGCTCCCCAAGAGTCACTTTCTCAAAGATCTCTACGAGGGCCCATTAAAATTCTTTTAACGATCAGGAGTGTGAAATGGGTCAAGCCTTCTGAGTATTGTTTAAGTGATATCTTCCTAGTAACAATCTGTAATAATTGCACGTGCTGTAGCCTTTAATGAACTGGGGGGGGGGGGTTGAAGCAAGAGGGCAGCCCCCCCCCCCATCCTGGCCATTACAATCCTGGGAAATGGCACAGAGGACAGTTTCCATGTATAAGTCTCCTGTCCAAACTGGATCGTACTGAGTCAAGCAGAGATATAATAGCAAAGGAATCCTGTGTAAGCAGTGTGGTGCAGTGGTTAGAGTGTCGGATTAGGATCTGAAAGACCCAGGTTCAGATCCCCACTTCACCATGGAAGTGCGCTGGGTGATCTTGGGTCGATCATACTCTCTCAGCCTAACCTACCTCACAGGGCTGTTGGCAGAATAAAGTGGAGGTGGGGAGAATTATGTAAGCCACTTTAGGTCACCACTGGAGGAAAAGGCATGGTATAAACGAAGTAAATAAATAAAACCCTTGCTTGATTCCAAAGGGTTTCAAAAGGTAACAGACATCTGGGACAGCAAAATGGTGTCACAGCCCCAATTAATAGTCCATGGTCAACTTTTATATCCACCCCGTTTTTCCCCCTAGAGTTTGCTAACAGATTGAGAAAGAATTTTTGTATTTATTTTGTTTTATTTACATTATTATAGTTTGCCTTTCTCAGTGTGACTCAAGGCTTACTACACAGTGTAAATCAATCCCATCAACAGGATGATGCATCTAATAAGCAATGTAACAGGACTAGGAATTGCAGAATTTTGTAACAGCTGCCATCTAAACAAAGTGTAAATCTTAAACATGACATGTTAAACAGTGTGAAAAATCAGAAGACATGTAATGAATTTTGCTGGACCAATCTATTGTGTTGTAGCCCTGTTTTCATTATAAAAATGCCCTCCTGAACAATTCTGTTTTATGTAGTTTGAGAAATGGGAGGCTTCCTGACTCATCAGGCAGACCATTCCACAGAGCGAGGCCACTTTAGAGAAGGTGCAGGTAGGGATAGTTGTTGATCTTGCCCATCTACAGGGTGGCACCTCCAGAAGGCCCTGCCCAGAGCAAAGCTGTTATGATAGCGTGTGGGAGAAAGGCGGTCTTACAGATATGAGGGTCCAGGGCCATAACCTGTCTTTATAATTAACCTGTCTTTGTAATTAACAAGTTAAATAAACATGCGTGTTACTCAAGCCTAAATATAAGTGCTATTTAGAATTTATGGAGGGTGATAAACTGTAAGCAACCTGTGGCAAAGATCTCTGAATGTGATTCTGCTAATGCAGATTGATAGGTGTAGATTAATAAGTGATGCATCCCATTCATTGTTAGAGGGGAAGGCCAGTCTTCCAGAAACACACCAGAATGAAAATACCCTCCAGGAAGTAAACAACAGTGCCTCTCTTGCTGAGGTCCTCCAACTGGGGGGGAAAGGGAGAGGGTTATGGACAGAATCAACAAATACCTTTAGTTGATAATCGATTTAAACCCAAAAGCCACAAATTTTCTCATCCATATCAAGCTAGTAAATCCACAGTGTCAGTCCCAGCGTCGTTTGGAGGAGACCATTAAATCGTTCTTTAGGGTCAAAACAGGTAAGGTGCTGAGAGATCCACCATTGTATGTTCTATCCGTTTTAAAAAAGTAAATCTTGGGTAGGTGTGGCATTGATTTTGGGCTGGGACCGCAAAGGAGGAGGAGGAGGAGGAGAGGAGATTGGATTCATACCCCACCCTTCACTACCCAAAGGTGTCTCAGAGCGGCTTACAAGGATGCAAGGCTCACCAGTACCAGGGCCAGAGCCTTTTCTGTGGCTGCTCCTTACTGGTGGAACGAGCTCCCGGAGGAGATCAGGGCCCTGCGGGACCTTTTACAGTTCTGCAGGGCCTGCAAGACGGAGCTCTTCTGCCAGGCTTTTAAATAGGAGCTGCCACCACCACTGTTGTCATCAATTATTCCACTGAACTTAGGACGGGCCCAGATGCATCGCCAGACCTGTATTTGCCCAAGGGATGATGATTGGAAGAACAACATGGACTTAGATCTGTAGAGCGCGCCATCTAACCTGTCAGCACTGCGAGCACTTTATTGTTAACTGTTATTCTATTATGTGATTTTTTAATTTATTTTAATTATTAAATTTATACCCTGCCCTCCCCAAATGGGCTCAGGGTGGCTAACAAATGAGGCACATATGCCAAGCTTAAACAGATTAAAACAAGATAAAACAAGCAATAAAACAATCATTCATGTAAAAATACAAGTGCTCTAGATGTCATAAATAACTGATGGGGTCACACATGACAAAGTGGTCCCAGAGCGACACAGTAGACTCCAGGTGGTACAGCGATCCGTCCTTCCTCCCAGGGCCGTCTCGTTCCCGATGACACCCACTCCATTTAGTGGTGGTGGTACGGTGGTGGTATAGTGATGCTCAAAAGCCTGGCAGAAGAGCTCCATCTTGCAGGCCATATGGAACTGCACCAGGTCCCGCAGGGCCCGGATCTCCTCCAGGAGCTCATTCTACCAGGTAGGAGCCGCCACTGAAAATGCCCTGGCCCTGGTAACAGTAAATTTAATATCTTTGGGACCTGGGGTTACCAGTCGATGTTGAGTCCCCAACTTGTAGTGCCCTTGGGGGAACATATGGGGAAAGGCGGTCCCTCAGGCATGCCGGACCCTGGCCATACAGGGCTTTAAAGGTAAGAACCAGCACTTTGAAGCGAACCTGGTACACTATTGGCAGCCAGTGCAGCGCTTTCAGGACAGGCCTGATATGGTCCCGCCTAGTGAGACCCATCAGCAGCTTGGCTGCGGCATTCTGCACTAGCTGCAGCTTCCGGATTTGCGACAAAGGCAGCCCCATGTAGAGAGTGTTACAGTAGTCTAGCTTCGAGGTGACTGTCGCATGGATCACTGTGGCCAGGTCATCGCGGTCAAGGGACGGGACCAACTGCCGAGCCAGCCGAAGATGGTAAAAGGCTAACTTGGCAGTGGCTGCCACCTGGGCCTCCATCGTTAAAGAGGAGTCCAGGAGCACTCCCAAACCTCCGACGCTGGCAGCAAAGGCACCCCATCGAAGGTCGGTAGAGGGAGCCCCAACCCTGAACCGACCCGACTCAGGCCCAGGACCTCCGTCTTCGCCGGGTTTAGTTTCAGCCGACTCAGCCTGAGCCAACCAGCCATGGCTTGCAACGCCCGGTAAAGGTCTTCTGGGCTGGAGTCCGACTGGCCGCCCAACATCAGATAGAGC